TAAGGCTGAGGCCATCGTGAGATTAACTAATCGTGAGATTAACTTGCTGATTAACCTACCAATTTCCTGAGCTGCATGTCCTAACTCTTGGAACCTCGGTGCCTGAACTTTGGACTGCCTCTAGACTTTGCCCCTGGAATACATAACCTGACTCTGGACTATGACCTTGGACTGCTTTTGGACTTTGCCTCTGGATACTTATATGTTACTTCAGCCCTGACTTTGAATTGTGACCCTATAATCACTGCTATGGGACCTTGTTGTTGCCAGGGCTTGTGTTATGTGTTGGGACTGAATCCCAGGTCTGTCACACCAGAGACTTGCTGAGCTTGGAGCCCAAGAACAATAGCCTACCAGGACTCTGGAATTAACCAGTGAAGTAGTAATGTTATGTAAATAGCCTATCATTGGGAATGGGATGTGTTTGGGTGTGGCAATTGCATGCTATTTAACAGAGCTGAGGCTCTGGGGTCTTGTCTTGCTCTTGCTGAAATCACAAATAAAGTTGAGCTGATCACTAAACTGGAGCCTGCTCATCCATGGAACCCACTATTTAGCAGCTTGCCTCCCACCTGGTGAAGAGGACACCCCTGTAAAATCAGATTTTTTTTTCTAATGGACCAGCATGACTGCCTGTATTATTAGGTTCTTTCCTGGTTTCATCCAGGTATTTCATTTGTCATTAGGATGCCTGTTAGTCCATTTGCTTCATCTGTCCCTCTCTAGTAGGTGTCCTCTAAAGTTCTGTCCCAAGGGCTTCATCCAAAATCCACTAATTTGAGATAAAGTCCTGGACTGAAATTCCCACCCTGTGATCAACTTGCAGAATCTTTCAGCTTTGCACAGTGCTCTGTGGAAATGAGGATGTTTACATTACCAGCATAAGCTTATAGTACACTGTGCAAGCGCAAGACTCTATTGGTTATTAAGATCCCAGAACTGGCATAACAGGTTATGTCTTTAAGCGCGAGGCCTATTTGAGTAGCGTTGGCATACTTGTGCTGATGCAACCCTGTGTTTTATGCAAGTACAAAGACACTTGGGGCTTTTTACAGTAGCTTGAGATGTTACTTTTTCACCTATTTACATCTTTCTTTTTTCCCCATTTCATTTGAGTATTGCTTTTGTTGGATTTTTCTTTTTAGTTCTTTTTTCCTTTTATTTTAATTCCACGTTTGTTATTGCTACCCACCTTGGATCCCAGTTACCAGCGAGAGCATTCAGACTCTTTATGTTTATTTGTAATAGTCAACTGGAGAGAATCAAATCTGACGTGCAGATCATGAGGACCTCCTGAGCAAGACTGTTATTGGACCACATCGTCATTACAAAAATATCTGGCATTCCCTACTTCACCACCACATTCCTGCCAAGGAGGCTGTAGAATTTTAAATGCCAGATGGAGCAGAGCTGTACAATTTGGCTTCTGCTGTCACACAAAGAACATTGCTTTAGGAGCAGTAACAAAAAAGCTCCTAGAAATGTCCTTTACTATCTCCCCATAAACATTCATACCCTGGCCCTGCTCCTACACCTGACACACACCAGCCTGTCGGGTGTTGGGGGGGGATCGTATTAAAAGGCATTGGGGAGGCTGACAGGTGTAGGAGGGGGAGGGGGGAGGAGTATTAGAAGGCACTGTGGAGGTGGGGCTGCACCCGACAGACAACCGCCTGTTAGGTGTAGGAGGTGGGGGGAGTGTGTTGGAAGCTATCTCACCTCCTCTCCTACACCTGACAGGCAGCTGCCTGTCCAGTGAAGGAGGGGGAGGGGGAGGAGTATTAGAAGGCACTGTGGAGGTGGGGCTGCACCCGACAGACAACTGCCTGTTAGGTGTAGGAGGTGGGGGGAGCGTGTTGGAAGCCATCGGAGAGGCTGGGCCAGCAGCTTTGCTTCA